TAGATAGATAGATAGATAGATAGATAGATAGATAGATAGATAGATAGATAGGATAGATAGATAGATATAGATAGATAGATAGATAGATAGATAGATAGATAGATAGATAGATAGATAGATAGATAGATAGATAGATAGATAGATAGATAGATAGATAGATAGATAGATAGATAGATAGATAGATAGATAGATAGATAGATAGATAGATAGATAGATTAGATAGATAGATAGATAGATAGATAGATAGATAGATAGATAGATAGATAGATAGATAGATAGATAGATAGATAGATAGATAGATAGATAGATAGATAGATAGATAGATAGATAGATAGATAGATAGATAGATAGATAGATAGATAGATAGATAGATAGATAGATAGATAGATAGATAGATAGATAGAAAAGTGGGGGTTTAAGGCCTATAGTTTACTGGAGTTTTAGTTTTCACCCACACGTATCATAATAACAGTAAATAATATCCAGAAAGAAAGAAAGACGGAAAATAAGAAATCAAAACTTCTTCAATTACTACCATAGCCACCACTGTAACAACGACTATTACAATTGCAACAACAATTGCTACCATTGGAAACTCCACCACACTTTCTACTGCAACAACAACATCAACAACGACAACTACTGCTGCTGCTGCTATTGCAACTACTATTGTTGCAAAAACATCGACAACATCTACTAGTGCTACTACTACTGCTTTTGCTGATACTGCTACTAATACTACTACTTCTACTACTGCAGCTAGCTACTACTACTACTGCTACTACTGGTGCAACTATTACTACTACAGCGACTACCACTACTACTACTACTGCTGCTGCTGCTGCTGCTACTGTTGCTCCTGCTATTGCTTATCATCAGCATCCCGTAACACTGCGTGTCGTTGTGTCACCAGTGTCTGTTGACTGTCTGATCAACTCTCTTCATCATTGGCTATCAGTTGTCATGGACCTTATAGTTGCACGCCTGTGGCCTGTCCAGTCGAAGCTTCTGTAACCGAGCCTTTCTTGGTCTGCCTCCTCTCATCTTTCCCTCAACTGAGCCTGTAGTATTGTTTTTAAGAGGCCGTTACATCTTACTTACTACATGTCCATACCAATTCATTCGTCGCCCCTTCACTGTAGTTCAAAGATGTTCATAGCTGCCAATGTGCTACATAATTTTATAGCGAACCTCTTAGTTTGTAATGTGGTCTCTCTATGATATGCCAAGAATTTTTTGGAAACATTGCATTTCGAATGCTTGTATCTTCCTTTTCCATCTCAGCTTTTAAGATCCACATTTCACAGCAATACGTAAATGTACTAATAGTTAATGCGCTGAGCAATCTAATCTTAGTTTTGCATGAAATGTTTGTGGATCCCCATAATGTTTGGCAAGGACTGATGTTGTCTGGGCAATCTTTACATAATTTCTGGTCTCGACCCCGGTCACTTAAAAGGGATCCTAAATATTTTCAAATGATTGTCTTGTTCTAATGTGTGACCTTTAACGAAGATTGGTGAAGTTATGCCAGCTGGATGTTTTTCTTTTTTTTTTTTTTTTTCTGCGTCTTTTTCCATGCCATACTTGGTTGATGTTTCATCGAGCAGATTTACAAGCTCGACTAGCTCTTTTTCTTCCCCGGCCAACCCATCGATGTCACCTGCAAACCTTAAGTTTGTTAAAGTTCGATCTCCTATATTAACTGTTCCATGATGTTGTTCTACTACTACTACTGCTACTACTGCTGCTGCTGCTGCTGCTACTACTACTACTACTACTACTACTACTACTACTACTACTACTACTACTACTACTACTACTACTACTACTACTACTACTACTACTACTACTACTACTACCACCATCACCACTACATTAACAACAACAACAACAACTACTACTACTACTACTACTACTACTACTAATACTACTACTACTACTACTACTACTACTACTACTACTATTAATACTACTACTAATACTACTACTAATACTACTACTACTACTGCTGCTGCTGCTACTACCACCACCACCACCACCACCACTACTACTACTAATACTACTACTACTATTACTACTACTACTACTACTACTACTACTACTACTACTACTACTACTACTACTACTACTACTACTACTACTACTACTACTTCTAAAACATGAATTATTTTGATACAGTTGCCATTTTTGCAAATATTACTACGACTAATGCTACTTTGCTACTATTACTGCTGTTAATACTACAACTACTATCACCACCACTATCATTACCACCGTGACTATAACGACTACGCCCCCACCACAGTCACGACCACCACCTTCACGACCTCCACACCACCACCACAACAACTACTACTGCTAAAAGTTCCGAAGACCATCTACTAATTTGTGTGTACAGGGTGCGACACACTCAGCCATGGACTTTATATGGAGTGCTTTTCGACTCTGCCTAAAATGGATTGTGTCGTGAACTGCGTATTCAGAAAATGGCGGGTGTCTGCAGCAAAAGAAAAGTCAGTATCTTCTGAAATAATGCATATTCCATTTAAGTAATCCGGACTCACAGAGTAGATTACACAAATTATCACCTGCCACATTTCGCTGTATCTGGACAGGTGCATTACTACAATGTATAATGAAGCATAAAATGAATCCGACATTGACTTCCGGTCAAAATGGACGCTAGGCATGGTCATTGTTTCGAGCCGTGGCACATTTTTTGCTTCTGCCAGACGGTGGCTGTTGCATTTTTGCTCCATCTGTAGACTGACATGATATAGTTTCCTCGCCCAGCTTCAGAGATAAGTGCATGGCGTGACACCGTAAGCTGCGGATATCATTTGGGATGTTTTTCGAATGTGACCAACGTGGTGGTGTGAATTGTAGATTCAGAAAATGGCGCGATGCCTGTTGTAATATTGGTGGTGTTATTATGTGATGAAAATTGATCGCGTGTGCAGCTGCTGATCTGTTGGTGACTTCTTCTAACATCCACGAGGAACTGCATTTCTAATGTCGGACTGTTTGTGTTAGCACTTCGGATGGCTACCATATGCTTTTAATGCGTGTTTATGCTAGACAGCAGTCTGTCAATCTTTCCACAAGGGACTGTGATAAACATTCTGTGTGTTTTTCGTTGGCACATGAGCGGAGCAACTATGGGGTGACCCGTTTGCTGTGAAGCTGAAACTAAGATTACCAGATAAAATAAATCCTTTTCTGGCTGAAATGTATAAACCTATACCATACTGTCAAGTTGATGTACATCCAGCAGCTGGAAATTCAACATCGGTCACATTATTACCATGGTAACTTCAAATTGACACGTGATCTTTCTCTTTACATATCATTGGATAGAAGAGTTTTATTGTCTAATCGCGGACTGTTTATGTTGGTACTTGCAACTGCTTTAACGCATTTGATGCGTATGTATGCTGCTGGCTTTGCTAGAATCGCAGTTTGTTCCATTTTTTTAAACTTAGGGTAGTTATAGGCATCCTGTATGGTTTTCATTGTTATGTGAAAGGAGTAACTGTGGAGTGCGACTGAAGATTGCCGACTCATCACCACTCAGCAAGTCCTTTGCAGAACGTCGCTCTCTTCACGGCACGCCTGAAAGTATCCCTTTCCCTAGCCAGCTCTCCAGCCCCATGTGCTTTCAATGCCAATCGATCTTCAATGTCTTTTATCCATCTTCGCGGTGGTCGAACCCTGCCTCGCTTCCACAAACTGCAACCTTCTATTGTCGTCTTTTCCAAGCGACCATGACGCTTGATGTGGCCAAAATACTTCAACTTTCGGGACAAGATGCTGTTCATGAGAGAGTTCTCCTTAATGTTCAAATCGTTCAGAATGTCGATGTTTTTCCTTTTCCTAATCCATGGTATTCTAAGAATGTTTCCAAAACATTTCGATTCAAAAGCTCCAGTCTTTTTTCTCAGTGACTGAGAGTCCGTGACTCACAACCGCGAGATGCCACGAAAAAAAAAATGCATGATCTCAAGAGTTTTACTGTAACCAATTTACTAGTGCTTTGCCATAGGTTCTTCATGCTATTTCATCTCTGCATTGTCAAATCAAGTCTTCTTATGACTTCTTTTGAGCAGTCGCCACTGTTGTTCACTAAAGAAATCTGTTACATTTTCTATTTCTTCATTTTCGATTGCTATACGTGGTTGGTGTGCTGTTTTTTACTGAAGACATTTTTTTTTTTTTTTCAAATTCAGAAACAGATTCGTTTTTTCCCTGTGTTTTGAGACGGCCAGAATAATTTGTCGAAACTTTGTACACTGCTGGACAGGAGAACTGTGTCGTCTGCATATCTGAGTTCTGGAATAGGATTACCTCAACTTTTAGTGGATCTAATCTCTGAGATATTTCATCTCTAATTTCTCATAACCCTTTCTAACAACAATAATGATAATTTAATAAGCTTCTCACAGGAAGAATTGTAATATCATCTTTACACCTCGGCTATGATTTGGTCGGCCAATGATGCAATATTTACATTTGGAATTGCAAACAATTATGCAATTGGAATCGTCAACACGTGGTGCGTGTCAGACTCATAACTCCAACGTACCGCGATCGAAACACACCTCTGGCTGCGTGGATTTTTATTATGGTATGGGGCGTCACAGGTCGACCCAGTCTTAAACGGGTACCAGGACGTATGTCCTGGGGAAGTAAAGACGACCGGCGTAATGCTGACCCTATCGATGGTCTGTAAAAATGTGGGTGCTCTTTCCATTTGCCCGATGGGCCTAAGGCGCAGCAAGGATCTTTACTTTACTTATTGCCAACAGGAACAACGACAAGAAATTATTAACGCAGTATAGTTGGGGGAAGAAAAACTGTATTCTTTTTATTATCAACACGGGAAAATTTGTTAGAAAAATGATGGTACAATGATTCACAGACACAATATTACAAATAGACGTAGATGGAGTCTTTACCACTGTGGTAGTTTCTGTAGAACTTGGACTTGTGGCGCTCAATTACTTTCTCCTGTACTCCTGTAAACAAGAAAGAATACACAGAACATTTAACATTGTCAATAGAATGTGTTACAACGGGTATAGAGCGAGTGGAAGACCTCGGAAAATATGGAGTGATGGCATTAAGAACAGCCTTACAGAAGTGAACATCAGTCTTAATAGTGCTCTTGACAGAGCTCATCAACGAACATCTCCACCAGCCACTTCGATGAGGTACAAGGTGGAAGAGAAGAAGAAGAAGAATAGAATGTGCTTGTATCTGCATGGCTGAATTCACCCCCCCCCCCCCCCGTCTCTATATTTCCTATTGCTTCTCGCATTCTGTGATTAAGTGTATGTGTGTGTGGCATGGTTATTCCAGTATTATTCTTTTTTTCTGTTTGTTCGTCCACTTCTTGATTTTGGTCTTGATCCATAACTTTGAATTTTGCGTGCACATCGCTTTTACGTACCTGGCTTATTTTAATGCAGATTCTTTGTTCTTTGCATCTCAGATGCAGTCTGAATTTTTAAAGAAACACCCCTTATTATTAGCCTCCTACGACATCCATGTTAGTGAACAGTGAGTCAAATTTTTCCCTTTCAAAAAAGGCCTTGAACCCTGACCGGGAGGTCATTTAAATAAATTGTTGGACTATTATTCTAAAACAATAAGAATTTAGCGTATCTCTTGTTTTGTTATCGTTCTTGTTGTTGCTTAATTGTGTTCGGTGTTTATGTTACTTTCAGCTTCCTCAAGTTGTCCAGTCACTGAGATTTAGTTCTAGTTAACCTGCTCAGATCAAACCAGCAGGTGGGTTGCTTCTATGCACTCGCATGTCAGTAGCAGGTCCTTCATAGCTTGTTCTTCACACTTTTCTCTTAAGGCCAGGTGTAATTTCGGAGTTGTATGTAGAGTGGGCAGGTCTGCAGAATGTGCTTACGTGTTTGTGGTCCCGTTTGACAGGCACACTTTTTGGACGCTACAATCTTTATTGTATGCATGTGGCAAGAGTGCAGTGTCCTGTTCGTAAACAGAACATTTTTGTATGTTGCTTTCTGTTAAAAAAAAAAAAAAATCAAAATGTCAAATACATCTGGCATTCTCCGCATTTTGTGGATGAAATCGACCGGAGACGCGAAAGTTCCTAAGGCTCCTATGATGTGGAGTCTGAACATAATGGCGCTGCTAGGAGTGATAAGGTGATCTGACTCTAACCCAACACTCGAGTGTAAGATGAGATGGTTATGCAGTTAGACTTTTACCCGTGCCATCGTAATTAGAATTCTGCTCGGAAATATGGGAATATCTCAAGTGCCTTAAAGTCAATTTGTTAACCCGCTGGGGTCGGCGCAACAGAAAAATTGCTAAAATGACGGCCGATCCGAGCCGATCTGTCGGCCCGGTAATATAAGCCTTAAGATTGTCTAGCTCGTCTTCATACCAGCTAATTTGATTACTTCTCACATTTCTTGCACATGCGGGCTGTTCAATGACGGCTTTTTTAAAAAGTCTGTTGCATTCTGTAATTTTTCGTTGGTTTTGTTGTTGTTGTTCTTGTTGTTGTTACCTATGCCCAACAATGGTGAAAAGGAATGTTGCGCCATAGCAACCAAGCTATAGTCGGAGGCAGGAAAAGGAGAAGAACCATGTGCCAGAGGTGTCTAAAGGGCCTCCATGGTCCTTAATTCCTAAAACACAAGTCTTTAGGACTTATTCAGGCTTCATTCATCAGAACATTTATCCACATTGTTAAACTGAGTCATGTTTGTCCTTAGTTTTAAAAAAAAATGCATGCGTAAATATGCAAATCACCATAGCTAATTAAAAAAAAAATTTTTTTAATGTCACTGAATGTCAGCACGAGTCATAAAGATTGTGTTGGTTAATTCAGTTTTCTATGTATGTAGTTAGTTTTATATATTGATTCATTAAAAAAAAATTATTTGTGTGCAAATGAAGAAAATCCCCTCGTGAAGTCTCCGTCTTCTTGGCATTGAACTCAAAAAAAAAAAAAAGGCTTTGTCTCCAAAGGGTTAATTCTACATTTAACATTTAGTCCCATGGTGTGGAAATCTATGGCTAGATTCTTAGTTCTTGGCTAGACGATATGCTTAATTCTCATGATATGGAGATGAGGTAGTCTGTCAGATTCCCTATCAAATGAAATGGGGAACATTTCAGAGCTCTTGTAGTCTTCCATTCGATCTTTAACTGCAGTTTTAGAAGCATGACTGAAGTATTCACGCAGTGTTAAACAACTTACATTTGTTACATTTTGCTTCAAAAGTCACCCTAGAGGGAAAACAATGATGCTTCAAAAAGCGTATCACGAATTCCAAACTGATGCAGTTCCAAATCTTTAGTGAACCACAAACACTAAGTGAAAAATAAAGAACAAACAAATGGGTGCTGCAGCGTGAAACTGTCGCTGAATGTCGATAACGACTTCATTTGTGAACCCGTAGCTCTCAATGCAAAATCGAATGCCCTGGGACCTGTTCCATATTCTCCCTGCCAGTTTTATCTGTCATGCTCTCCTGCCACAACTTAAAGGACGGAGATTCAAAGAAGCCCGACAATGTTGTTGAATAGACAAAGCCCCGGGAGATGTTTAAAATCGTTATAGAATGCTTTTAAAAGCTGCATCAAATTTGCCAAACATTTGTAGTTGCTGAAAATAAATTCTTGCAATGCTGATACCTTTAGGAATAGATATTTTGTTGATGCTTTTATGAATATATATTTTGTATCATAAACAGAATACTCGGACTTGTGTGCACCATGCAGCAGTTTCACTGCACCGAATAAATCCAATAGAAGTGGCGCGGGTCTCAAGGGGCTTAGGACTTCTTAAACTGCGCAATAATAATAATAATAATAATAATAATAATAATAATAATAATAATAATAATTTTGATTGTCCGTGTGAATGGCAAATTTCAAATAATAATAAATTATAAACACATACTGATAGAAGAACGTTTTTACATGGTGGGGAGGTAGGGGAGAGGAGGGTGCTCCACCCCCTTAACAATGGGGGGGGGGGGGGCATCTCAAAGTTCTAAGGCCCACGTGCTCCGGAGCCTATGACTATCCGTGCATGTGTATGTTGTTCCCTCTGGCACTTTCTCCTCCTTTTCTCTTCATCCTATACTCCTCCGTTTTTCCTTCTTAATCTTCTTATCGTCCTCCGTCTAATATGAAGTGCATAAAAATATGACAAAAAGAACTTCTTTACCTATTATCGAATGATACATTAAGACCTTTTTTTAAGGACAATACAAAGAGCCTGTCGTTGCATCAGTTCAATACATTTCTCACACAACTGGCAGAAAAAAAAAAAAAATCACCGATTTCCGTTTCTAGATTTCCCCACACATTTAAAGATGTTCTTCTAAAAAAAAATGTCAGGTTCACTGACCAGCTCAAACTACACCTAAATAGCTGCAATTTTGTGCTGACACAGTTATCTGATTTTCTCCACGAAATGGCAAACCTCTGGAGGCAAGAAAGCGAATTACAGAAGCCAGACGCGTCAACACGCTATGCCAATATTCCTGTTATGAACGATGTCACCCGAGTGACTTGTGTACTTCCGGTCACTGAACCCCGATGTAGCTAACGGAGATTTTTTTTTTTTAAATTATTAAATAGGCAATATGTTTGTTTGTTTTAGTATCCAGAAGCCATGAGTTGTTAACCCCTCGGCTCGGTATTATGGATATCGCAACCTTTCGGCCTTGATTCCATTGTAAATACCGTAAATCTGGGAGAAATTTGGCTTTTCTGCTCACCCCCCGGGAGTGAACCCGGACCACAAGGAGTTCGTCACCCGGTCACCGCGCAATCCGGTTTAGCCAGCTACGCTAGAGAGCCGGACAAAATAGGCAATATAAAAAGCAGTAAAAAGATTTTGTCATGGTGACTAGAGTGACCATGCCCGTTTACAAACTCGCCATTCCAAAGTTAACATTTGAACGCTTCAGGTCAACTGGCCTCAGGTTCTTCCGAACAGGACCCCTTGGTATAAAACTACTGCTACAAAGAAAAAGTTAATTTTTTAAGGAGAATCGCTTTATTCGGTTTCGTCACCTCAGAGACAGGTTTACAGCAGCTTCCTCAACTGCACAGGCGTTGCCTCCAAGACGTCATGTGTCTGTCAGACTGTTCGAAACAGACTGCATGATGTTTGGCTTTGGGCTCGACGACCACAATGATGACATGTCCTTACGCGTCGCCACCTTCAAAATCGACTTCTTTGGGCCAACTAACATCGTCCCTGGGCAAGTGACAATCAGTGGAGACATGTCCGGTGTAGTGACGAATCTTTATTTTTGTTGCAGCGTCTCATGATGGACGGCGTAGGTTCTACCGTAGACAAAATGAAGGTTAAGCCCTAAATTGTGTTGATGAAGCGCTGCTGCATGGTGGTCGGGGTGTAATGGTATAGGGAATGATTAGTTACAGCGTAAAGAGTCAATTGGTGCACATTGAAGGAAGCTTGAATGCGCAACTATACGTCCATTAAATTCTTCGACCATATGTCCTTCCATTTAGGGATGCCAACAGATATCTTTCTCAACAAGACAACGCCAGACCCCAATCTGAACAGTTGACCACGCAGTTCCTGGCTGCCAATAACATTCAAACCCTTCCCTGGCCATCCCTGTCTGCGGACATGAGTCCGATTGAGCACTTGTGGGATGAGCTGCAAAGACGTGTTTGTCACCGAAATGTTGCTCCAGCCAATGGTTGTGATCTGTTTTGTGTGTGTCCAGACACGCCAGGAAGTGTGGGCATCCATCGCACAGGCACACATCAAACATCTGATCGAAGCCACACAACATATTAACGGGAAAGGCCTACGCTTAAAAACTATCGTGACCCAGATGAAAAAAAAAAAAAAGATGTCAATTGAGTGGTGAAACCCTAAGGTATTCTTGTGTGAAATTTGAGTAGTTTCAGTTACTGCATTACAAAAAAAAAAATGCAGAATGTCAAAACTGTGAGTATGTTTTTTCCTTTCAGTAACTAT